AACCAATGCAACTGCAAGGAACTGAGGTAGTATGCCAGAGGTTGCACATGTGTGCACCACTGCCCTCTGCTGGAAGTAAATGGAGCCATTCTGTCTCAAGGGAATTGTCCTTTGAGCTCAAGCAATGGGTGGCGTTGGCCTCCACAGGGAAAGCTATGTTCTGTTCCTGTTGCCCCTGTAAAGAACCCAGAGGTTCTGTGCACCAAGACCCAGAGGTCTTGGTGCACACGGACAGCCAAGCAAGTCCTAGGTGGCCAGTCCATTAGAATACATTCTGCTAGCATACAGCAACTACCTTCACACTGGGAGGGAAGTTTGAGTCATTATCCCTGTGTAACCCGAGTGCACCCCAGTATGTGCTCCCCCTCACTTCAATTGGAGGGGATACGTGGCCAGGCAGGAGTGCTGCAAGAGGGGTCTGCTGTGCAGGCCAGCCCCACTTTATCTTCTGTAGAGTCAGGCCAGGACAGCTTAACTATTTACAGGTTTATTAGTATACAGGTAACAATATTTACAGATTTATAAGAGAGTATTGGTAAATATATACAATATCCAGATCACCCAAACACTGTTATGCTCTATAATCAAAGGCCCAAGGGTCCACCACCTCAAAAGGTCCCTATGCAGGTAAGAAGCTGTCTGCAATAGGTTAAGTATAACAAAGGCAGATAAACAACAGGTATCAACAGGTAAGTTCAGACAAGAACAACAACAACAACAAAAAGTAAATACAGGTAAACCTCAAATAGATGACATAACCCAGATCACATTAAAGGATAACAATATATAAATAACTATTTACAAAATATGAGACAGAAGTCCCCCTTTCCAGGTACCCACGTGGCCGAGACCACTGGGCATTCCCCCAGGGTGCCAAACCCTGGCACCTCCCCTCTCCTAGGGGAAGTAAAGGGAGGGTCCCAATACTTCCTCAGCCCCTGATGGGCCCCCCCTGGTCCCCAATCCCTCAGGACCCCCTCTCAGGGCTTCCTCCCCTGTGGGGATCCCTTCCCTGGGTACTCAAGGATCTGGGGAGCAGACCGGGAAGGTCTCCCAGAGCTGCAGGTGCCTTGTCAGGGCCACCCAGGGCCCTGCCTTCTGTCTTCCATTGGGGCTCGGGCCGCCTTGTGTGGGTCCCGAAACCCAGGCCTTGCCTTCTGCCCTCTGTTGGAGCTTGGGCTGCCTTGTGAGAGTCCCGAAACCCAGGCCCCGCCAGACCTCAGCCACGCTGTGCTGGTGCCTCCTGGGCGCCCGGCTTCACACCGGGGAGAGGTGCAAACCCAAGCTGCTACATGCAGCTCCCAGGGTGTGGTGGCTCCATGCACCACCATGTGCGCTGGGATCCTTGGCCACACGTCCAGGGTAGTGGACTCGGGCCGCCACATGTGGCTCCCAGGGTCTGGTGGCCCCATGCACCGCTGTGTGCAC